TTTAATGATTTAACTTATGTGAAAATATAGGATATGTTTTGGTTGCCTTGCCATATACTAATGTACAAACTTTTGAGCGTTTTAATTTTAATAACTTCCATTTTAGGATTTTTTCTGATTTACACCCAATTTTTAATAACACCACGGATGGGTTTATATATTTATATATATAGGACCAATCTTTCTAAAAGAATTATGTCCAGGAGAGTATTTAGGATTAATAAGAATTTAAAAGGTTGCGTAATGGTCGGGTAATATAATTACGACTTTGAGGCTATAGTTTGGGCAAGTGTAAGTGGGGGTTGATTTGATTTAATGCTTTTGTCAACACTTGGTTGAAATATGTTGAATGTTCTGGACCTGCACGACCTTAAACTTTTTTGAGTCTCTAAGATGACAAACCTCCCACCGTCGAATTCATGAGAATAACCACACTTCACTTTGTAAAGTGGATTCAATCACATGTTCCTATTATGTGTGTGTATAGGAGTACTCTCAAATACTGCAGCAGGTTAATAATCTTTTGATTTGATGAATTATCGAACATAAATTGACTTTTTTTATTTGAGGAATTATTGAACACTAAATGCAGTACTTATTTTAGTAAGAATTCAAAACCATGATTTGTCGAGATATAAGAACTAACCTTTCTCGACATACTCAATCTTATTAGTTTACGCAATTATTTATTTTTTTGTAAAAAAAAATTGTAGGTAAAAGTTCCAACCTAATACACAAATCTAGTGAATTAAAAATCCAATGCAGATTGTTGGTTTTCCTTCAACTTTTTTTTTTTTTACTAGCACATGTATCTTTTTATAAAGTATTCTATTATTTAAACACTATCGAATATTAAATTTAAACATATCTCTCGATAAAAATTTTGAACCTTAGTTCGTTATCTCTTTCACCAGCCCAACTATTAGTTCCTTTTTGTTACTGATGAAAAAGAACACCCCATGCCCAGCTTAATTAGTGCAACAAAATTCTTTCCTTTTGTGGTACTAATGGTGTCCAGTTTTTCATCAAAGTTAATGTGGCCCAAAGATTTTGGGCCACAAAGTTGGGTGATGGGGCGAAATGGGCCCTGTTGAGATGACCCGTCTCCCCAAGCCTCCCATGAGATGCACCAATCTTCCATGCGTCGTCAACCAAGGCACAATAAACTTGTATGATTACGTTGGAATAGGATTAATACAATATTTGCTTTTATTTGTTCATCCTCTCTTGAAGAAGCTTAGAGCCATAGTGAGATTTGCACTGGCTTACTTTATTTATTTCATATTAATATAATGAAAGTTAAGGCAAAAAAAGAAATAAAAGATAAAGGCTTGGGGGAAGTTGTAATGTCAATCTGATAAGAAATAAAGAAATCATTAGAGATGTTGTTTTGATTTTTTTTTAATAAAGCAATGATTAATTTTTAAAAAATGGATGGCAGAAGGCGAGAAGTCAATGGAGGTGACGAGGTAATAATAGCCATGATAAGGATTCTAATTGTTATACAAATACTACTATTACTTAACTCCTTATAAATTCCAGTTGCTGGTTGAGTCTCATGTTCTAGTTTGGCCAAAAAAAAAAAAATCTTGTGCTATAGGATAAACCTTCGCTCCTGCTACTTCCGTTCTTAATACAAGACCTCATTTGATTTTTATGTTAATTCTAAATATAAAATCCCAATCCACTTCGTCTCTCATATTTATGTATTTTTTTTCTAAAGTAATCCTTCTAATAATGGTAGTTTTAACCAATACACTTGATTAGTAATGATATTTTAAGAAACTCAATACTTATTCATTACAAATAACTAACTTAACTTATTTTATTAATCTTCTCAAATTAGTTAACTAGTTCTTATAATTAGAATCGGAAGTAGTATATGAGAAATATGAAGAATCACAAAGGATCAAGAGAGGAATTCAAGGCATCTCTTTTAAGGTAGGATTCAAATATTAGTTTGTCATACCGTAAGGAACTAACCTCGTTTGCCCGAACTAATTCTAATGGTGTTATTAAGACTTTTTTATAATTAATTTTTTTTCCAAAGATGTTATAGTAAGCGGACAATCTTGAAGTGTGAATTGAAACATCGGGAGGCCGTAGGTAAGTATGTTATTTCCTCCAATGAGAACACATTCACAGAGGATCAGCCCAAAAAGCCCAAAAAAATAAAAAAAAGAGGGCGTGATCCGGTGTTGTGAAGGGGAACGAATGAATGGATTGGAAGGGTCCAGATGATGATTGATGATGCGGTGACTCGTGAGGGCATCTTCCGCAAGATATTCCCTTCTGCCCTCCCGCCTTCGCAGGAAGCCTCTGGAAACTTGGGACTTATGGTTTATTTTTCCCAAATTTCTTTGACCATAATTTTTCCCATTTTTATTAGCTTATTTTTTAATTAAAAAAAAAAGACATCAAATTTAAATCATCAAATCCCATATACGGGGGGGAAGGGACAGGTTTGGAGTTGCAGGCGGAGGCCACGTCACCACGGCCATATACTCCATTAATATTATTTCATATATAAATAATAATATTCCCAATTATCAGTTGTGGGCTCAAAAGAGTGGTCCCACAAGACAGGGTTCGGAATTCAAACCCATATTTCAATCCGCTTTAACCTTATCCCCAAGCTTTTCACGTGCGACCGACACCTGGCCCCCCCACGCGCCCTCCCTCCCGCGTGTCCCCACCCATAGGCCTACCGGCTGATGGCAACAAATTTTCTGAGCGCGCTGATGTTATCTTTTCAGGCCCCCGAAGTGGTAAGCGCGAGACACACAGTGTGACTGAACAAACAAGCCACCATCCTCCAAAGTCCAAACCCCCTATCCATTTTCATTCTCAACGGTTTCCTCTCTCTCTCTCTCTTCCCCCCACAAGCCGCCAATCTCCTTTAAGCTTTCTCCTTTCTTCTTCTGCTTCTTCTTGTTCATCCTTACAGATAACACCACCGTGCTGGAGCTCTAATGGCCAGTGATTCTCCCACCGCTGCTAAAGACGAGGTCCTCTCCGTTGAGCTCCCGGCTCCTCCTGCTTGGAAGAAACTGGTCTCTTTCTCTCTTCCTCTCCTTCTTTCTTTGATTTCTTCTGTTATCCCACTCTTACTTGTTACTAGCTAGCGTGTTATGCTTTCTCCACTTGCTTTGCTTCAATTCTGTTGTATTCCACTTTTACTTGTTACTAGCTAGTGTGTTATGCTTTCTCCACTTGCTTTGCTTAAATTCTGTTGTTGGCTTTCTGTTTTAAGACTTAAAGTTCTTTGCTTTACTTATTACCCGGTGATTCAATTAAGTCTTTCTGCTAGGATTTGGCTGCTTGCGATGGGTATTGCAATCCTACCATTAGGTTTCCCTTCAAATTTTGCTTGTTTTAGCCTTTTAGTTGCGTGCTTTTTTCTTTCTTTTTTTTTTTTAAAAGAAAGAGTTAAGAGACAAACAGACAAAAAAAGAAACCGGAAATAATAGCTAACTAACTTTCTTGGCAAATGGAATTTTTTACTTCTTTTAAAGGCTTCCTCCTTATCCACAGCTCGTGCACCTAACCATAACCCTAGAAGAAAAGTGAACAGTGGATGGCACACGATTTTCCGGGAAAATATTAGAATATTGAGAAATTAGCGTGACCTGGTGAACTGAGATAGTGTAGAAGAAGCTTTGATTGTTTCGCCCTTCGCATGGTTCTAGATGATTTTGACATTTCTTTCACACTGATTGGTTTTTGTGGCTGCTTTGAATCGACCCTTTTTGTTGTTGAATATTGGTTGAATTGGGGTGAGAGATCGAGAGATTCTGCAAGGAGGAAATTGCTGTACAGTTCTGACTATGACACTGAAAATATGTCGACAAAATTACGCCTTTGTGAATCGTATACAAATTTAAGTAAATTTTTGGTCTTGATACTGGTATTTGTGTTTAAAGATTAGACTTCTATTGAGATTTAAAGGACTTGTCTTGAAAATTTACCGAAGTTGAACTTCTATGTAACTTTTGGAAAAATATAAATGTATGCTAAATCAGGATTATAACTTTGAGCTTTAGATGCTGGTCAAAAACAACTTTGAGCTTTAGATAGAATTATGCTTTTTGAGGACTTGAAATCTGATATTTACAAAGCATTGGTCCTTAGATGTAATAATATCTTCAAATATTTATAATTTATAATTATAATTATAATTTTAAAATTTTATACCAGTAAAAAATACTGATTAACCGTATACTGTGTAAGAAATTTACGAATCAAGGCCTCATGTTAAATATTTTGGCCTATTCTTCGTAATATAACAGCAACTTGTAATTTGGGGTTTAGTGATTTTTCTGACTTAGTTTCCTTATTGCGCTCTGCCGCCAAGCTTACTCTTGCCATGGACTCTGGATTTAAATTTCCTTATGCTTAGTTTATTATTTTTTTTTTCAGACTAAATATGCTCCTTAAATTGCGGAGGAGTGATTTGTTAGGATCTAAACTAGCTCTCCTGTACTAATCTTGGGTTATGCAAAAGTTGTGTAAAGGACAGCTTGTGCTGTCACGTGCTTCCAGGCTTTTGTTTTGTTTTGGTTTTTTGTTTTTGAAAGAGTTAATATAATTTTTTGTCCGTCTTTGAAATTTCAAACTACTCTTCATTTAAAACATTAGTACCTATATTTAATAAAAATTTAGATTATTTTGTTTTTTATGAGATCAAAACCAAAATGACGATAAATTTGAGGAACTAAATATTAATTTTTTTTAAATTATCCATGATGTTCAAATTTCAAATTTACTATATATCCTCTATTGAGACAGTCACAAAGTGTGCTATTCTGACCCTTTTTTTCATGGAAAAATATCACACTGATGCTGGGTGGAATTCTTTATATGACATGCTTTTAGTTGCATCGTGCAGTTTTTCCCAAAGAAAGTGGGAACACCCAGGAAAAGTGAGATTGTGTTTGTGGCTCCAACTGGAGAGGAAATCAGCGGAAGGAAACAACTGGAACAGTATCTAAAGGCACATCCTGGGAATCCTCCTGTATCTGAGTTTGACTGGGGAACTGGTGAGACCCCGCGGCGATCGGCTAGGATCAGCGAGAGGGTGAAATCAACTCCCCCATCAGAGGCTGAGCCTCAAAAGAAGCGAGCTCGAAAATCATCGGGTTCAAAGAAAGATCAGAAGGAAAGAGAACCTGCTTCAGAAGAAGGCAAGGCAAAGTCTGGTGCTGAAGAAGAGCCCAAGGCTGCTGAGGCTCCCAAGGAGGAGGAAGAAACACAGCAGAAAAAGGAACTTGAGAATGGGAATGAAACGCAGCAAACTGAACAAAGAGATGACACTCGCAATAATAATACTGACGAACATAAGATGCAGAGTGATGCACAGGAAATCACCACGAGTCAAGAGAAAGCTGAGGAAGTTGCAGCATCAGGAGAAAAAGAAAAACCTGCTGGGGAAACTTTGAAGACTGAATCACAGAAAGAAAATGGTGTTACTGTAGAGGCAAACGGGGAAGCTGATGCAAAGAAGACAATAACTCAAACGGAGATGGGAATGAAAATTGGTGAGGAGAGGGTTGAGAATGGGAAAGTTAATGGCGATATGCACAGTGAAGCCCCTCAACAGCCGTCAGCCCACCCTGTGGCTTGCTGAAATGCACTGTACTGTGCTGTACTAATCTGTATTAGTAGTAGTGCCATTTTGACTTCTGTAATGCTGTTCCTGATATCTTGTTCGGACATCCTGGATCACTGGAGTCTCGTTTTTTTGTTCATTTGGGTTGTACCTAGGAAATCATTTTAGACATGTACCTCCTTTTAGATTAGGCTTTAGATCTTCCACAGTGCTTCTCTTCAGGCTGTAGACTGTAAAACTTCAGTGTTAGTCATCTAATTTGCACATGCATAGCGAGAAAAATGGTGGTTAAGGCCCTCATCACTCGCTCTCCTGCTGTAATGTTTTCTTTGGTATGGTAACTTTATTCTACTGAATCTGACTTTACCGTATATCAAAACGAAGCTTCCTGCTGGGAAGTGATTGAGTTCTACAGCAGTACGCGAATTTGAAAGCTCACTTGTCTGGAACAGTCTCTGATAGACTGATAGTTTGCAACATGAAACCGAGACATTTTCGCAGCTCGGAGAACTATCGTGTAGCGCGCAATTCATTGCTCAATGACCGTTGTCTGGTTTAGCTGTACAAAATTTACTTTTTCGATATGGAGCTAAGGATGCAATATGGGTCTGGGAACTTAAAAGAGCATGTATGGGCCTTTAAAAGAGTACCCCCGTTGATGAGTTGGGTCTGGGAACTTAAAAGAGCATGTCTTTAAGCTTATCATCATTTCGTGGGTGTCTTGATTTTCTTCTTTTTCCTTGTTGGGTCAAAACTCATTGACAAAAATATGGGCCTTTCAGATTGTTGGGCCATGAAAGTCCTCCACCTTTTGTTGATAAATGGCTGCATGTTAGTTACTTAGTTCGCTCTCTTTTCTTTTCTTTTTTTTTTTGGGTAAATGTTGGTTCGCCCTGGAATCTTGATCAAGACATATGGCCTCACAATCATTTAAAAACAGTACTTTCACATAAATTAAAAAAAATCATATATTTATTTTGTATATTATAAAATCATTTTTTAGGGGGTTTATTTATGGCGGTCAGTCTCCCCTAAGAAATTATTCCTGCTAATTTTTGACTTTTTTTTATATAAAGTCAAATATAACAACATGTGAATCTTAATATACAACGTCTCTTTTTGGTTATACACACAGTGGAACTATTTGACTTGCGTAATCGTAATGCAATTCACATTCTATTAAAATGTTAAATATATTTTGACTTTGTTGATGCTATTCGTCGTGATCACCCCAAAGTAGGGCTCTCTTTAGAATAAAGTAGATGAGCACTTGTGCCTTTACTTACTAATTAAAAGAGGTTTGGACTATTTGGTAAATATAATACTCCTCCGGTCTTTAATATAGAACCTAATTATTAAGTTAATTTTAGTCTCAAATATAAGATCTATTTCTCATATTTATCAATTTTTCTTAAATTACTCCTATAGATACTCCCTTAACCATAATCAAGTAAGTGAGGGAGGAAGGATATTAAAAAAGATGATTATGATGTTTTAGAAAAAACATGTCATATTTCTGATAATTAACTAACTTACCTAATTTTCTTAATTTAATCAAATTAGTTAAATAAGTCTTATATTAAGGATTGGAGGAGTATAATTATAATCTGACACTTAGAGATGTTGATTTAGATAAAACCTTATGTGTCGTGAGCCTGACTCAGTGAGTAGAAGGATAGCCATGAAATTCATCAACGAGAATTACACACTTGTTTATATAAATATATATAATAATATATTTGTTATGTTTTAATTGAAAAGCTGACACACAAATCTGCCGTTTATTTTTCCTTTTAATTCTCGGCTTTACTTGATATCATGCATCCGGGGAATCAGATTCATGGGGCTTTTTCAGAAGGGAGTGTTGAAAATGGGAACAAAGAAAGCACAACAAAAGTAATCACGTCTCCAAGTCGACAGTATCAGAATAAAGCGGTGACATTAGAGTATCTTTGTTATCATAAGCAGCTATATATGATATTCGTTTCATATGTTCGTGGAGGGGGTTTGCGCGCACATCACTATCCAATTCTATAATCTATTCATTAATTTAGTTTTACTCTATTAATTAGGATTTGTATCATTGCCTAGACTTATTAATGTTTGACGATGTGGATACGTAATCCTTGAATCTTTTCTTTTAAGTAATATTACATTTGATTCTTAGTATAAAACCGAATTGATTAATTTTAAGAGATTAAGAAAGCTAAAAAAATTATTTAATTATAGCATGTCTTACATAATCTTTCTTAAATGCTTATGTGTATTGTTAGACTATATACCAGTTTATAAGTTAGATGAATTAGTTTGAAAAAAATGATAAATATAAATACTTTAAAGTAATTTTTTGGTTTTGTTAATCTTCTCCAATTAGTCAAATAGGCCTTATATTAAAAACTAGAGATAGTATCATCTTTGTTACATTTTCTAATTCTGTCATCACTTGCTGCATGAATCTGGTCAAATCTTAATCGACCAAGTCAATCTTCATATGCAAATTAAGCTATATGGCATATAATATATATATATTGTAGCATCAGAACAAACACCGAACAACAAGTATTAGTTAACGTGAAAGGCAAAGTGAAAGGACGAACTTGTAGTAAAGGGCAACTTTTCATCAACGGATTCACATATTACTAGCTACTACTTCCGGTCCTAATTATAAAATCTCGTTTACAATCTACAAATAAGGTTCTATAATTATGACTAGAGCTAGCCAGTATATTATATATATTTAGATAATATTTTTGTTGACAAAAATCAAAAGCCCCGGTGCCATAAGTAATGGTGCTGTTCTCAGAAGTAATTGACAGCATATAGAAGTGGAAGGCAAAGTAGAGATATATGCGTAACATCACATGGAATGATGGATCAATAATCCATGGATGCTTTCAATTGATAGTAGCTTAGTGGAAGGATATTCCTTGATCATGGATGCATGCATGGCAATGGCTGACTACCAACCAGCACTAAAATTTTACAGGAATACGATTCCCTTTACGCACACTTCCCTTTTCTCTCTGCAAATTCTCATTCTCTCACTTAAAGATATTAACAATTAAAGTGCTAGCTGCCAATGCAAAGATAATAAAACAAATGCACTGCAACTCACCAATACATGTATGAATGAACAGCTGGGCACTCTTTTATATGCAGTGTCTATCTGATACGTAGAAAAGAAGTGTTTACACGTAGAGAAAAGAAGAGAGATACTCCCCCAAATCCTATATATAAGCTTCGCTTTTGGAGAAGGGTCTTGTCTAAAATATAAGCTTTATTTTTGAGTTTGTTTAAGTATTTATTACTTTTTATCCTGTTTTGCCTTCTCTCTCTTATTAATATTACCCCCATATATTTTCTTTTATTATTTTTTCATTTATTACCTCTCTCATTATTTTCTTAATAAATAAAGACAAATTTGAAAACAAAAATATTTCTCATCTGTTTATTATTTTTAACTTCTAGTCCGTTAAATGTAATTTGGTCATTTGAAGATTACATATAGGATCGGAAGGAGTATATAGATGTGTATGTTTCCCTGTTTTTAAACACTTGGAGATGAAAATGAAAGGGTTTAATTTGAAAGCTAGCGAAGGAATATTCTCAGTATAGTATCGAAACCGCGGTTGAGAATTGAAGTACTATCTCTAGTCCTAATTATAACATCTCGTTTATAGATTACAAACGTGGATTTATAATTAGAACAGGAGGTAATAGTATAATTGAAATTCTTAGTTTCAGCAGTGAACTTTCAGCGGCGACTAAAAAAGTCGCCGCTAAAACAAAAAAAGTTACTGCTAAAAGTCCACTTTCAGCGGTGACATTTTCGTCGCCGCTGAAAGTCTTAGTTTTAGCGGCGACTTTTTTTGTTGCTACCGAAAGTCGTCGCCTAAAGTCTGTTTTTTTGTAGTGTGCGTTGGGTACTATTTTTAATCAGTTTTATACACACACAGTTGGGTGTTCTTTTAATCATCAGCTATATAAATATATATATATTTATATATATAGACACACACACACCTATAGATATATATAGAGCGCGCGGGCGCACACGTGTATGAATGCATGCGTGCGTGTCCCAGTGGAATATCTGTCTTGTCAGTTCACTTGTGTGTGCACGAGAGATATGCTGTATCTTTATTTCACATTACGCGCCTAAATATAAATGCTTTGCTTTTTTTTTTTTTTATGGCCTTAATATTTTCAACCATTGTTCTTTACTTGGAATCTTCACTTTTTATTACCTTCATGGATTGGCTAGCCGGTAGGCACACCTCATTTCCATCGCTTTCTTCTTCCTCACATTATGCAATTTGCAACTTAATGGCAAAAATAATCAAAGCGGTACTCTATTGACAACTAAGGACACTGTTAGAGGACTAATGTGAAAAAAGGACTTCCAAATTGTCATCATTTCCCCCACATATTTTTAGGCATTAGTTTGTGTGTTTTTAAGTTTATCATCTTTGATATTTATTATAAGAACCGCTTAACAATTTCACGGATATTAAGAAATTTAATTAAAGTTCAGTATGATTTTAGCTTGGTCCAGAATTTAACCGATTTCTCATCTTAATTTCTCTAATTGCTGTGTATATATAATATAGGACTGTAAGAGGGAGGAAGTCAAAGCAACAAAGGGCATTAAGAGAAGAAAAATATATATATATTTGACACAAATTGAAAACGTTTTTATAATAATAAACACCAACCAACTGTTTGAAAATTAAAAAAATATTTTTAAATGAAAGACTATATAAGGAAGCGCCTCTCAGTGTTGGTGCAGTTTTATATATTATTTCTGGAACTTGAGGTTTAGAAATGACGGCATATACTATAAATTGAAGAATTATAAATGATAATAATAATATATAAGTCTGATTGAGATAAAGTAATAAATTGATTCTCATTTCCCTTGCTTTTGCTTTTGCCTTCTCACTCTTGACGATGCTCTTAAATAAGGCATCAAAGTTTTTGTTTATTTTAGAGTCAAACGTGCAAAAGGCAAGCTAATATATATATATATATATATATATGAGTCAATGGAAGATGCCCTCCCCATCGGTCTTTTTTATGGCATCTCTTTTAATTCAAGTCCTTTATTCCACAATTCCTCATTTCTTAAATTCTTTTTAACCACAAATATTTGTCCATGCTAAACATATTCTTGAATATTGAGTCACGTTAAACAAATCAAAATGATTCTGTCTTGATGTTGTGACTAAAACTCCTCCCCCTCCCTGTCATAGGCTCATGGCAACAACGTTCTCCCTGTCATAGGCTCATAGCAACAAAGTTTTTTGCATAAAACAATCAGAGTCGGTTGTAAAATCAAACCAATTGGAACTAAAAA